GTGGCTCAGGGGGTTGGGAAGCGTATCTGGGGAAAAGGATGTTACCCATCGCAGTGAAAAACACGTTTGTCACGTTGAGAACGGTTACTCGTCCTGTTCCTTTTTATTTGTTCTTCAAACTAAACAGATGTTCCAGTTTCCCTGAGCTGTCTTCAGCTGTGAAAGCAGTCAAGCTCAGTCTGATGATACACAGTTAATCATTTTAGTGTATTCTTTATTTTCAACAAACGCTTCAAACTCTTTCGCTTTAATATATTCTTAAAGGTTCAAAACATAAAAACATATTAGGATGTTACGGCATAAGATGATTTTTGATCTAACGATGCAACGCTTTGAATTATGGGAAGCCGCTGTGTCCCCACATTTCTTAAATGAAGGTCGGCGTGTGTCCTAAACGTCACCTTTCCTCAGCAGAGAATCCAACCAACACTTATCACACCCTCCTTGAAAAAATGACTATTCGACCTCAACCCAGCTATCTGAAATGTTTCATCAGCAACGTGGGCAAAACTGGCTTTTAAACAGAACAAAATATCAGGAGTTCCACGTTCACTATGTTGTCCGATCATTTCACACGGGAGCGAGTTTGGGAGTATGTTCCAGTTTCCTTTCTCTGTCTTTGTTGCCGCTGGATTGGCAGGTGTCAGTGTTTTGTATATTTCAGTACATACCAATGAAATAAAAAACCCTAAATGAAACATTTTGTAAATTTCTGAAATCCTCTCTGCTTTCTTTAGCGGCGTATTATGTTATATACCTGCTGTCTGGAGAACACGGCTCCAGGTGCAATAAAAGATAAAGACACAGAGGCAGCAGCGGCTCGTAGTTTTCTGTGTGATTCATCGAGATGTGCGAGTGTGCGCCTGCGTGTCGGATCCCGTTCGCAGCAGCTGGATGTGATTGTTGCACCGCACCGAGCAGTTTACCGAGCCAGCCACTCGCCACAAGAGAGTAATGACATAGTTAAAGAGGGCGGTAGTGAGGACGGGGGTTGTGGAAAACTCTGAAAACACTCGGGATGAAAGCTATCACAGATCCCTCCGAGTATCAGCTCCAGTGTAATGGACGGGCCTATTGTAAGGTAGGCCCACAATAAACTGCTGCAGGGAACAGACAGCTGTCAATAATTTAGAAAAGTGTTTGAAGTTTCCTTC